TAAAACGACTGCCATGCAATGTGTCTGCAGAAATACATTCAGTAAAGTCTGAATACTGACTCTTTCCACTAATGTGACAATACAATGGGAGGAGGATGCTATGTTACTGTGGCGGGGGATTTTTATGTCAAACCAGGGAAAACCTGTATTCATCACGTACAAATAAGGATCAAGGCCCAGAAAGAATTATTTTACTGCTTCAATTGCACTTGTTCACCCCTCAAATGCATGCTTCAGTTCATGGACAACAGAGAGAATTCACAGGTGTAATTCACTAAGCCCTTAGACATTTGACTATGTTTCCAGCCCAGTTCCTCAGCAGTGCAGCAAGATAAATCCAAAGCAAAGCCCTTGGGTTTAGTTGTTCTGCAATTGGATCAGACTGAGAGAAGAATCTGGCTCTCAGGATGATTTCTGGCTAGTGTATTTTAATCTTATGTTGAGCTTGTAACCAGCTACTGTGGCTATCAAGCTTAATGTAGTTAGCTGAGTAATTGCTGAGACTTGCATCCACTTCCTGCTAAAATGGTAATTTCATGATGATTATCAAAGACAGACTCTTTTTAGGGGATCTGTATAGAAAACAGCTCCTGTAATGGATGAGAAAAGACACTTTTTTGGAAGCTACTCCTGATCTTGGCATGATGCATAACCAAGTTTACCTCATGTTAAGGAAGAATAATATCAACTACAAACACCCAGGAAGAGAATTTCAAATCCCGTAAGAATGATGGCGATAACTCAAAGCAGCACATGCAGAAAGCAGTGAGCTTAAACTCATTTTTGCCTCTTTGTTTACTTTGGTAAAATAAAGAAATAGTTTTGCATTGCTTGTCCTTTTTTGTGTCTTTTATTCCCTTTTTTAATTCTATCTGAAAAGTAGTAAGCATAAAGGCATTATTCTAGGAACATAAGCAATAATTATGCTCTGATTCAAGAAACTTAATAGCACTAACTTTGTTGAACAGTGGTTTTGGCTGCTGCACATGTGTTGCCACGTGTGTCTGTTACACCCTGGAGCCAGGGATATTGATGCAACAAAAACGGCAGCAATGTTATTCCTAGAAACAGTGTCCTGGTTTGTGACAACTGGGCAGCGCTTGTGTGTATGCAGAGGGACGGAGATGCTGCCCCTATAAACCTCTCTTGCTGGTTGAGAGGAAGCGTAGAGAAATGGTTATAAGATAAACATGCATACACGCAAGGTTTGGAGTCCTTAATTTCATACCTACTTCTGCTGATGACTTCTTAAGTTTTAGGTCAATTTGCTCAATTGACTCATAACTGTTTCCTTGTTTGTGAAACAGTTAATACAGCAGAAGTAACAAAGGTGTCTGTGGCTCTTTAAAAGGTTCTCTGGGAATACTTTCAAAATTTCTCGGTTAAAAATATGTACAACATATAATCTGGGATGTACTTACAGTTTATTCTTAGGAGACCCAGAGAAGAGGCTCAGTCCAGAAAATCTCTTCTTAAATAGTCGCTCTCGTTTTTTCCGGCTGTGCTTCCCATCTCCTATGCTTTCTTCTGTGAGTTCCTTCTTTCCTTTGTGCCAGCTCATTTTATCTGTCATAACAACAGCTCCTGCCTAGATGAAAGGAGAAGTCTGAGTAGCTGTTCGAAAGTCGCTCCCGTAGTGCGTGGCACCTGATGGAGTCTGGATCCGTTACTCTACAAACCTGTAAATGTCCTGGTTATGCAGAAGATTTAGTCGAGATCAGTGGGCAGCCACTTTCCATCACATGGAGCAAATACCTGCCTTGAAAAATCCTGCAGAGACAAGGCGACTCTGGATATTCTTACTCAACGACTATTCCATGTAATTATGGAAAGTAGGCTTGGACATTAAATATAATAAGTATTTCCCTCTATGTGCTCTCTTTCCTGATTAAGCTACTTGCTGAAAACCAAGAGAGGAGGCGGCTCGTTTGATAAAAGCGAAGAACCAGAAGCCAATGAAACAGTTTTGTGCAGAGAACAGGAGCAGTGAAACAAATGTGAGATGGAACAAACACTGCAAAGCAAAAACCAGAACCCTGAAAAGATGAAAAACCAACTGGGGATTTTAGTTAAGGCTTGGAAATTGTTTCCTTTTTCTTTTGATAAAGCAGTTGATTAGTCTGCATTTCCGTGTTGCATTGCTTTGTCTCCAAGAATTATCCCTTTGGCCTCTCTGATTGAATTAGTCTCTCTGCTGTACATTTGATACTTAGTAATCGCATTAACTTTTGGTTGCTTGACTTGGAGGGTTGTGTTCACCCCCTCCTAATGATTGGAAGCGCTTGTCTGTTCCTACCTGCTCGGAATATTTTCCACAAATCGTCTAAACCAAGTCAAACAAAGTTTGTATGTTTAAAAACAAAATTGACAACTATTTTGAACTATGGATTTTTCTGATTTTACTCTTCATTTTTTCCTCCCCTGTGTGCTGCCCAGGCAGATATACACAGGCACTAGGGACTCACTGTGCAAATGCTTTGCAGGATCACACCCCAGAACAGTTTTTCATTGTGTTATAATTATTTACCAAAATTATACATTGACACACGTTAACAAGAAACTATACATACCTCCAAGGAACAAACAATGACACACCTTGCTACTCATGCTTGGTAATGAGACACCCAGCTTTTTAACAGAACCTGGCTAAGCTGGACCTGTTTCTCCCACAGAAATGGCAGGAAAGATTTTTCTTACAAATGGTTTGTTGACCTATAAAAGGAAACTGTCACTAAAAATTACTATGCTATTGAGAAATGAATACAAGTTGTGAATGAAAGAAAATTACACACCTCATAACTAATCTTCCCTTCAGTTTTTAATTTGTGACAAAAGAAACTGCAAGTTCAAGACTTATTCTAGGCATACAGTGGTGCAGAGGTGAAGCTTTGCAGAACAGACCAATCTGTGGTTAATAAAATCAGCAACTGGGGAGGCAGGAATCTACCTTACCTCTGAGAATTCCTTCAAAGGCTTCTCACTGCACAATGTTTCAGTACAAATTCTGGTTGTCTAAAAGATGAAGAGGAAATGTAACATTGAAAGTACAGATGTAAGTATGTGGAAATCAGTGACAAAGAATTGAAGATGCACAGAAGGGGTCTGTCCTAAAGCCTTTTAGTCAATAATTTTTAAAAAACTGTACTTTGGACATGTATAGCATTTACTTTCTTCTAAAGATGAAATTGTCTGGCTGTGTTTTCAGTGTAATTAATTCTAATGATGTAGGGGGGATTCCTCCTATACTTTATGTTTAAATGTGTTGTCAGATCAGCTTTGAATACCCAGTATTTGAATAATTGATTTCCTTTACCTTGATTTCCTTGTCTGCTTAAATCTTGCAAAACTTGACTACCATTGCTTTCAATATACCGATTAATTGCCCTCACCTTGCTTACTTAGCAATAGCAATAGTGTTTTTTGGTTTTTGAGCCAAAGAAACCAATAATAGTGTTACTGTGGCTCGCCCTGAGATTTACTTTATTATGTGGTCAGTCCAGAAATCTATAAATTACATAGTGACTCTTTGAAACGTAAATTCTACTTGTAGATCTGGGAGAAAATACATTTCCTTCAGATGAAGATCATGTAACAGCAGTGAAGAATGGTTTGGGGAACCTTGGTGTTCTATCTGTAGGTTGTCTCTAGTTAATTATAAGCAAGGTCTAGTACCTGCAGGACTTTAGATGTCAAAACTGATTTGCACTGATGCTTGCTGTTGACTGCTTTCATTCCTGGACTACCTGAGCAGTATATTGGTGCCTCTGTAACTGCCTTCATATTTATAAATATGATTTCAGGAGAAAGTATATATTATGGATAGGGTAAAAAATACCAAACCCAACAATTTACAAATGAGACTAGCTTTCCCTACCCAAGTCTGGAAGGCTAGCAAAGATGCAGGAAGCTATTTCCAGAAACAGAGCATTTCCACAGCCATCCCTCCAATTGCAGCAGCACACAGCAGCCCTGACCCAGCTGATATCCCCTGGGGTAAAAGAACCGAACAGAACAAGAGGTAAAATCTTTGTGGCAGATGATGTTGTACAAACACACAGGGCAAAAGATGCCAGACAGGAAAGGAGGTCTGGAGAGGAAATGACATGACTAGCAATTTGGTAAAGATTTCTCTGTGTGCCCAGGATGCAGCTTTTCTGATCCAGCTCTGTGTCTTAATTAAATAAAATTTAAGCTGTTTGAACTAATTCTGATCATACTATTTTTTGCCACCACAGGGTGTCTCTGCATCTCTTTAAAGGCTTTGGTAGCCTTTAATGGCAAGCTGCAATCTCAAGGGAATGTAGGGCTAAAGGAAAATGTCCCCCAGCCTGGCTGTGGATTTTCTTCAGGATCCTGAGACTGCTTGGATTGGAACGGTGACGCCTTCGTTGGCTGCTAGGAAATTCTTCTTTAGCTAGTAAGGCCATAGTCCAACAATGTTACTTAATTTGGTTTTGAGAGCTCTCCCCTATCAGCTCAAAAAAAGCTGTGGCCATATAATGTGGTGCACCAACTTAGTTTAAGCTCATTCTGCACTGCATTCACAGTGTTTGAAGCGTTATCCTTGTACAGGCACACTTCGGCTGAAGCACGCCAAGTCTCTCTGCCATTTTACCTTTATGCTTGTGTGGGTATTTTCTGTTCTCCTTCAGTCAGGACAAAGCTGGCATGAAGTCAGCATAAACACTGTATCCTCTGCTTTAGATAGTTTGTTTACTAAAACTGTTTCCCATCCCATTGGGTTTGGGGTTTTCTAGGATATTTTTTGAGTTTTATAAACTTTGGTCTAGCATCAATAGTTACTTGTTCCACCCTTCATGAAGTGACCAGAGAAAGGGCAGGAAGGTCTAGA